TCCCCAAAATTCCCCCGCCCGGCGAATGCTTCCCTTGGTGGGGAATTTTGGGGAGTTGAGGTCCAGACATTTTCAAGTTGCCAAGGTTGAGAAACACTGCCTTAGGTGAACTAAGGTGCCCAACCCCTCTACCTTCAAGCATCCATAAAGTTCCCCCTTTGCTGCCCCAAATTTTATTTGTGAAGCTAGAAACTCCTTTTGGCTTCAGACAAGCTTATTAGAAGAGTGGTTTCCATGGCAGCCTGCCCCCTCTCCCTTGGCTTGCCACGACCTGCCACACCTGTTGATCCTCCTTTTGTCCCAGGCCCTCCCGTTCTGAAGCTGCGCAGGGGGCAGCACAGCACGCAACCAACTCATTGCGCCAGAGGACGACAGCTGTCGGGCGGAACGCGTGCCAAAGATTGCCCAATCGCTGGAGTTGCAGGAGAACAGGGTGGCACACACACACACCCCAGCAGCTCGCGGCTTCCTGCAAAATGGGTCTTTTATCCCTGCCCTCGAGGGGTGGGAGAAAACCCAGGGGGGTGTGTGTGTTCATTCACAAACCAGGGACAGCTGGTTTTGGGAAAGGATGCAGATGGAAGAGGACTTTTCAGTCAAAGCCAGTGAAAAGGTCACCCCCATTCTTTTATTTATCCACAGATGTTATTTCCAGCCATCTCCTTCCTGGTCAAATGAGCCCGTTGGGATTTGAGACGCGAGCTGTTTCCCAAAACCCCAAATTTCAAGGGACGGAAGGAGTGAAGGACTGAATTAGAGGGGTGGGTGCCGGATTCCAGAGGAAGAAACCTGAGTCTCAAATAACCCTTCTGCTCCCCACGCAGGGACCCTCCCAGTCTCAAAAATACGCATCCATCCTTCAGAGAAGACCGAGCGAGGCCTGACCAAAGGATACCGAGACCCCCTTCTTGGGTAGAAGAGACAGTTCCTTGAAGAGACGCCTCTCTTGGAAAGAGGCCCCCCTGCTGGTTGGGTTGGTGAATCATCTCCGGAAGGTGCCAGGGGGGGGTCTCCTCTACGGCCTGATGTCACTCAGAAGGGCACTACCATGAAATACAACGGCACTAAGCGAATGCCTTTCCTCATTTGTGACTTCTGCAGGGGAAGCCGATGCAATGCGCCGTTATCGTAGCCCTGTCCAGCCGCCAATTGGAGGTAGAAGTGGCACGTTGGCTGTTCAGGAGGGGCTGCCCCGTTTCGCGGCGGCATTCCGGCCCCTAACGGAGGCTCTTAAGATTTCCAGGGCTTCCCAGGGATTGGATTCTTCCCTCTCTTGGCCCGATTGGGACCGATGTATTTTAGCAGCGGGTGGCTGGGTTTGTGGATGATCTCCGCACCCATCAGAGGCTGCAGGACCGCCGGGATCCGAACGCTGCCGTCCTGGGCGAAGGAGAAGGTGGGGACAAAAGAAGAGCGGGGGGTCAAATTATTCTCCAAAGCACGGAGGGCAGGACAAGAAACAACGGATGGAAACTAACCGAAGAGAGAAGCAACTTGGAACGAAGGAGAAACTTCCTAACAGGGAAACTCTTTTGTACCTTGAAAGTTGGCCAAAAGGCTTGATAAGATTTCTTGGGCAATGCAGTGTACCGGTTAGTTGTAATGGGAGATGGGTCGGTGTGATGTACACATTATTTTTGGGCACTTACGGCTCTTCCAACAGCCAGCATCCCATCCTGGTTTGAGTAGTTTATTTGAGTAGTTTATTTG